TCCCCAGCCTGGAGCTGACCCACATGGCGCAGCAGACCTCTCCTGTCTCACCCGCTGCTCCCCTCAGCAGTGTGTTTTAGTAGATCTGCCTGTTCTGCTCCCCAGTCTGTCTCTGGTGAATCCTTTCACCACCCCAAACCTCTGGCCTACACCCCAGTACTACACAAAAATAAGTAAAATTTACAAAAGTAAAAAGAATCTAAGACTTCTTAGACAACTTAGACATATGGGGTTGTCTTGATTCTGCTTGTTCCACTCAGATCTAATGATCCATTTTGCCTTCTGTCAATCATCTGACTCAATGACATTTCCTTTGAAATACTTTTTTTTTTTTAATCTATGCATACAAGAACTGGGGTACAGCCCAGAGGTGCCGGGGGGTGAGAGGATTCACCAGAGACAGAACAAGGAGCAGAACAGGTGGATGTACTGAAATACACTAAGGGAGCAGTGGCCAGGTGAGGAGAGGTCTGCCACGCCATGTGGGTCACCTCCCTGGCTGGGGATTGAACTGGTGCTGTTTTGGTTGTGGATCATTTCATAGTGCTGAGACTTAATCACCAGCAGGGAGGCCCTGGGAAGTACTTTCTGTATGTCACATAATGTGATGGTACCAGGGGGATGCAGAAACCTGTTCTTGCTCAGCCTTTCTATCAGGTAGCTATGTTACATTAAGCAAGCCACTTTGCCTCTGTAACTTCAGTCCCCTCACATGCAGAACAGGCAATGATAAAAACAGCTTACATCCATAGAGCTCTTTCAATGTCCTGAGGCCAAAGAAAACTCATTCTCAGTGGGATCACCCCAGTATCACAGTGAGGACAGAGGGGAGATCTCTAGCACCTAAGCATTTACAGGCTATCTCTGGGCTGGCCAGTGAATGGACGAGCCACCTCTCTTTGCCCTCTCAAGCTTGACCCACCTCCTTCTTGCTGGGGTTCACACCCTCAGGGAGCTCCTCTGCAGGCACATTCACCAGCTGCTCCAGGGGGAAAATGGGCAGAGGCCCAGAACTGAGGTTGCTGTTAGCATGGAACACATCTGGTTTATGGCTTGTCATCTCCTAGGGAAGAAAGGAAAAACACTGGTTACTTCAGATGGTTTGTGGCCACCTCCAAGTTGCCTTTCTCTTTGAAGTCAATATGGATTTCTAGAATATTGCCTTCTAGAAGGTTTCTGTGACCTCATCTCCCAATCCTCCCACTTTTACACCCTCCTCATGAGAACACATTGGACTGGACCCACAAGCTGAACTTTGGTGGTCTGGGCCTACTCAGTGTTACCAAGCTACCACTGTTACGTCAGGAGTTGGATCCCGGCCAGGAGGCTGACCCACATGGCGCAGCAGACCTCCTGTCTCGCCCACTGCTCCTCTCAGCAATGTATTTCAGTGCATCTGCCTGTGCTGCTCCCCACGCTGTCTCTGGTGAATCCTCTCACCACCCCACACCTCTGGCCTGTACCCCAGTTCTTATATGCATAAATAAAACTTTTTTAAAAAAAACAGAGTTTGGAGGCCTATCCAACCACAGTGATACAAGATGGGTATTTTGTTCTATGACTTAAGAACTTCATGGTCGACCCTGGACATTCATGAATGCCCTTACCTGTCATAAATTGTCATCCATAGATTCACTTAGACTTGACCTAGCTATCCTGCTGCCTGCTTCATCGTCTCCTGAGCAGGCCTCATCAAGTGTCCCTGGGTCCCTGGTATGGCTAAAAATCCATATATAGTAACTGCTGAGGGCCTCCTTGGTGGCCTGGGAGTTAAGTTTCAATGCTGCCACTGTGAAGGCCTAGCGCAACAGCCTGCATTCAATCCCCAGCCTGGAACTGACCCACATGGCACAGCAGACCTCTCCTGTCCCACCCGCTGCTCCCCTCAGAAGTGTACTTTGCTCTGCCTGTTCTGCTTCCCACTCTGTCTCTGGTTAATCCTCTCTGCCCCACACCTCTGGCCAGCACCCCAATTCTAAGCAAAAATTAATAAAAGTTTTGTCTTTTTTTTTTTTAAGTATCTGCTGAGTTCCCCAAAATGGATATTGTTCTCGTTTTCTGGACACATTTCTGGAAGGTCTGTTTGGTCTTGATCTCCCATAAGGCTGTGTACTTGAAGGAAAGGTTTTGATTTCATATTTCCATACCCCAGGCCTACAGGTTAAATGTATTACTATTAACTCCCTGTAAGATCAAAGGAGTTGTATTCTACCTGGAGAAGGGATCTCAAAGGTAGCAGTAATAGAAAAAGCCTTTCTTAACATGTAGTCCTTGGGCTAACTGCTGCAAATTTCTGGGGCCCTTTGTTAAGACATGCATATGCCTGGGCTTTCACCCAGTTCTGAAAACCAAAATGTTTGGGAGTGGGATCTTAGGACCTGCACTAAAATAAGCTCTCCCCCCCCCCCAATTCCTATGCAGGATGAAATTTGGAAAATAGGGAATAGAGGAGACAAAACAGCTACAGCTTTTGAAGTTTAACAGCAAGAACTTGAGAAGCAAAAGAAAATAGCACGAGAAGGCGGAGGCCCTGGCATCTTTTCTGGTATTTTTCTCAGCTTCCTCAGGTCTGACCATCACCAATCGGCCACCACAGATGAGCCATCTGCTCAGTACTCACAGAAGAGATCCTGTCCCAGTTCACAGAATTTCCAAGCTCCTCTTTCTGTTCCTCGTAGGATTTGACATTCTGTGAATAAGATAAAAATTAGACCTGGGTCTCGAGCAGCAGAGACAAAAAACCATCTTTCTTCAGGTGTCGGGAAAGGCTGATCAGGCTCTCCCTTGGTGGTACAACGGGTTAAAGCTCAGTACTATGAAGCTATTGCAGCCACTTCAGTTTTAAGTTTGATTCCCCGACCCCGGAGGTGCCCCACATGGTGTGGCAGACCTCTCCTGACCTGCCTGCTGCTCCCCTCAGCATTGTATTTCAAGTCAACCTGCCTGTTCTGCTCCCCACACTGTCTCTGGTGAATCCTCTCACCCCCTGCACCTCTGGCCTGTACCCCAGTTCTGTATGCATAAATGAATCTTTAAAAAAATAAATAAATAAAAAGAAAAAAAGACTGACCCCGATGGTGAGAAAGGTTAGAGGGGGCCCAGACAGGGAACAGTGCCCCAAATAGGGGTTGAATGGTGAAGATGAGCAGCAAAAGCACTCATAAGGCCAGGGCCGGAGGTATTTGCTCCTGCTCCATCCTTAACAGGAATTTTCCCACCCTTACCCACATACAGCCTTGCAAACACTTGCCTACACAGTGCCAGTTCTGGGAGACTCAGGGGACACAGAGAACTGGGGGCTCCTCTCAGAGCCTGAAGAATTGAAGGGAAGAGAGGAGCCCATGGCTCCATGAAGAACCTCATCTATCCTCAGGGCCTGGCCCTGAGCACAGTACCTCAGGAACTGAAGCGTACTGAATGAATGGTGCATTGAGCGGAGCCAGCACAGACCTGTTGTGCAAACGCCCTGCCAGGGGTGTTGACTTGGAACTCTGATATGGACTGAGGAGGTTTGCAGTCCTGAGGCTTGTTTCAATCCACCCTCAAGACTAAAGGGTCCATCAACCACTGATTTTTTAAAATGTATTTGAGGAAATTAACCCAAGCTGTCAGTTTCCCTAAACTTGCCCCTAGTGCCAAGTTAGAGCACGGGAAGCCACCAGGCTAGGACTCCGTCTTCCTCAGCCTCCCTCCTTCCTGCAGGCACTTCACTGGGTTTCCACCTTGAGGACCCGACCTGTGCTCCCACCGTGTTTAGGAAATCACTGTCCTTCAGGTCAGGACCACATGTAGGACCCACTTTGATTTGATCTAGAATATAGTGCCAGGAAGACACGGCCTTTAACACTGATCTATTTCCTTACATCTGGCATGTGGTCTGCCAGCACTGGCCTGCAGAAGTTTCTGCAGTGATGAAATGATCTATTTCTGTGCTGTCCAATATGGTAGCCACTAGCCACACATAGCTAGTGAACACTTAGATGGTGGCTAGTGAGAAACTGAAATTTTGGTTTTAATTTTAATGAAGTCAAATTTTAATTAAAATTTGAAATTTTGGTTTTAATTTTAATTAAGTCAAATTTTAATTAAAATTTGAAATTTTGGTTTTAATTTTAATTAAGTCAAATGTACAACTCTTAAGAATGATATCCAACAGTTTTGAGCTAAATCTGGTGCATAAGCAAGGCGGTGTAATTAGCTTAGGATTTTGATCTATTTCCTTCCCTCTCCCCCCAGCAGGGTACTTAATGGTCTAAAGTGCAGCTCTGCTCTTTATTCTAAGCTGCCCTAACCCCATACAAATGCACCTTGCGTCATACGGCCCAAGGAGAAACCTGGCATCAGCGTGCCTGGGTGTGCGAGGAGGCCACCCAGAAAAGGGTGAGCTGGCTGTGGGGTGAGGATGAACTGAGGCTACTCACACTCCACTTAAAGGGGTCCCAAGCCAGGAACCAGCCCGTGAAGGTGGGGGGCTCGTATCCCTGCTTCACCACAATGATGGGGGTCTCAGGGTCACGACCGCTGGGGTGGGTCCTGAGGTACTCCTGCACAGTGATGGCCGCAGCCTTCTTCTCTTCCTCGTTGGCATGCTTCCCGATCCAGAAGAAGACCTGTGGGATACACCAGGGCTCAGTCAGTTGTCGTGGACTGCTGTGTCCAGGCTCAATTCCAACCACCTAGGCCCAATGGCTTTGGGCAGGCCCCACCCAACCTTGACTTTCATGTGGGAAATGAGGTTAGACAGATGCCCTCTGCCTGGATATTCTGAATATCCAGCCTCTCTGGAGCCTCTCGAGCCAAAGATCCTCAAAAACACTCCTACTGCCATGTGAGAAAAACCAGGTTTTGGGAGAATACATCTGCCCAGCAGCCCCGCAGCTCCCTTCCAGTTTCTTCAGCCCCTTTGATGCAGAACACCATGACCACCAATATCGAGTATGTGAGCCAAGACGACGTCAGACCTTACCTACCCCTGAAGCTACTACCTCTTGGTCCCGGGGCTTGAAGTGTTAGTAACAGAGGTCCCTAGGCCTCAGGCCTACCTGATCCCAGACATCTAGCAGGAACACATCATCCTCTTCCAAGTCATCCTGATTGAAGTCGGGGATCTCCGTGGCCAGGAAGCGCCCGGTCTGGTTGGAACACTCGAAGAGCCGGGGCGTGATGACCAGATTTTCCTCCTGCAGTCTGCAAGGTGGGGAGAAGATTGTTGGCAGAAGGAAGTGTGGGGGAGGGGGCTTGGGGACCCTGGCCTGGAAAGTCTTTCCCAGGAAACACTTATTACTGATCTAACAAAAAGCGCCCCCATCCTCCCAAGAGTTCTTGACTGCTCCCAGGGAGAAATACCCACTGCTTTTCAAAGGATGCATTCCAGAGACTCTTCCATACCTTCGTTAGGACCTTCTTTCTGCTATCGTCCCTCTCCTATTACTGCTTCTGCTGCCATACATGCCATTCTGCTTTTGAACTGGGGAATAGTGGCTTGTGGATCTGCTTTAGAAAACCATTTGAGGCCCTCCCTGGTGGTGCAGCAAGTTAAAGAGCAGCAGTACAAGCAAGCCCCAGCTGCTTCAGTTCGAGTTCAACCCCACCCCACAGGTGATCCACATGGTGTGGCTGACCTCTCCTGACCCACCCGCTGCTCCCCTCAGCAGTGTACTTCCTCTATCTGCCTGTTCTGTTCCCTGCTCTGTCTGTGGTGAAGCCTCTCACCGCCTCCGCACCTCTGGCTTGTACCCCAGTTCTGTATGCATAAATAAATAAATACTTTTAAAAACATTTGAAAAAGGCTTTAAAGCTGGCGCTCCTCAGCATCCGGGTCCTGTGCCAGCCCAGAGTGTGGGCTGGGGAGGCTCTCCTTCCTCCTAAAGGGGAAGCCTAAAGCCCTGCTCCTCTCTGAGCTGCCTCCTAGGCTTGTGAACTCCTTGGACTAGGGAGATAGACACCCCCACCCCACCAGGCCTGAGCATGCCATGTGAGAGCACAGTCAGCCCCTAAGCCCAAAGGGCTCCAAAGTCATGCGTCGCTCCCATTCATCTTGTAGCCCTGAAGGTCTGGCATCTAAACTCTATCCGAGGGTCTTGAGGGTTGAGGTCCTGGGAAGCTCTCCAGCCTCAGAAGGTGAACAGGGGGTAAGAGACCCAGTGGTTACCTCTTGGAATTGGCGTAGGGGGCCTTCCCGCCCAGGGCCATCCAGAAGTTGGCTGGCTCCTGCCCTTCCACCACCACTTGCTTCTCCGTCCGGGAGATGATGTCAGCGACCACCTTGGCCATCTCCCGTTCATCCCCACTGCAGCCCTGGGGAGGAGAGGGGGTCCCTGCGCTGGAGAAGATCATCTCTGGTGCCAGCCCCTACCCCTGCGCCTCCCCCAATCACTGGCCTAGAGCTCTTGGGCCTGGGAGGGCACCCCTACATCAGGGCTCTCACAAGTGGCCAATGCAGAGACAGCCCTCCCACCGCCTCCCCTGGACACACCAATGAATGGCGGAGGAGGCAAGAGTGTGTGCATGCCCCTTGCAGGGCAGGTGAAGTCGTCCAAGAGAGATCTTTGCAGAGATCAAAGGAGAGACGGCAACAGGCATGGGGTAGTGGGAGCGCCCGAGACAGGAAAACAAGACTGGCCAGCCAGAGGCTACCTGGATGAGACCAACCCAGTCGCAGATACCGGGGGTCATGGTCAGGCCGAGGAAGGGGAGAGGGTCACAGGCAACGCGAACCAGCAAGCAGAACCTACTCAGCCAGAGGCTCCGGCCTGACCCAGGTCTACTCTCTCTGACGGCCCCCACTGCCCACTTTGGCGGAGGCGGCTGCTTGGCCCTTCACACACCTTCCCACACCACAGGTAGCAGCAGGACTGGGTCTTGAGGAGGAAGACGTCATTGGAGTTGAGGGAGGAGGCCCGGGCTGGGACCTCGAAGGCCTTGGTGTTGTTCGCAGTGGTTCCCCGGACCTGGAACAGCCTGGTGGAGGGCTCGGGCTCTGTGTTGCCTGCCCGGGAGGTACCTCCCTGCAAGGGAAGGGAAGAAAGCCGGGAAAGAGAGGTGGCAGGAAGTTAGTAGAGATTGGAGATTGGGGAGGAAGAGAGGTTGGGCAAGACCTATTCATCTTACCAGAACATTGCTTTGCCCAAGACTCTACCCTGCTCAAAAGCCTTCAGTGGCTCCCTGTCGCTCCCTGATGACCAGAACCTGGCTCTCGGCGTGGCTTTAGAGGGTCCCACATGACGAAGATAAAAACGGCCTCTTCAGATGCTCTGCTCTCCCCAAACCCTCCAGTTCAACTTGGTCAGGCTTCTCTCTCTTCCTCTGGTGCCTTCTCCTGGTTCTTGGCCTTGCTCTGCTCCTGCACAGCACGCTCTCACCCTCCCTCTGCTAAGCTCTTCAACTCAAACCCCCTCGCTCTGTGCCTCCGTCTTCATCCTTTCCTTTGGACTCAGCTAGGGTTTCTGACATTTAGCTGCACTGGCTGTTGGCCCACCACGACAGTGGAACAGCTCACCCGACAAGACGGGCCACCTTGCAGCGTCATGGCATTCCCCTCCCCCCCCCCACAAACTTGCAGAGGGACGTGTACTTAGTAGGTGCCAAGCAGATTGTCATGCGTGTGAATGCAGGTCTCTTATTTCATTAGGCTGGAAGGCACCAAAGCTGTTTGGACAAGCCCTTCACTTAGGCAATTCTTGCCCAGATAATTTTTAATGTATACAACCCAAGGAGAAGGGGTGTAGAGTGAAACAGCTCTTGCACACATGAAATGCAATGTAGATTCAAATTACATGCATATTCAGATCATGTATACATTCAAAGGTCAGCGGTCCTTTCCATTCCCAGCTCCTGTCCTGCAAAGAATGGGCTTCACCCACCCTGCTCCACCCTTGCACCCCTCCCCCTCCCCTGGGGGTACTTGGGGTGCTTCAGTGCTGCAGCCACACCTGGTAGACCACCATTTGTCCTTTGAAGATGGCCATGAGATGGGGCGGTTCCTTGCCCATTGGGACCCGGATCTGGACCGGTTCATTATTGTACTGCTGGTCCAGGAAGACAGCCTGATAGGCTGAGGCTGCAATTTCATCCTGGCTGGCCTGACTGCCCTGGGGATGAGCAGGATAGAGAGAGGGAGGGCGTCAGTCCCCTCTTCTGACCCCAGCCCCAGATTCAGCAAAAACTCCACCCCAATCATCTTCCCCACCAAACCCCACCCTGCACAAAATACAGTGTGACCCAGGACCTCAGTCCTGATCCTGTCCTCACACCCAATCTCTGCCCAGCCCCAACCCAGCCTGACCCACCTGCTACCCCAACCTTTTGACCCAAGAGCACCATCCACAGGAAGCAACTTGGCTACCATGTGGCCCACCCTGGAGGCCACACCCAAGCATGTCCCTGCTCTGTCACATCTGGTCACAGAAAACCCAGTCACAGATGGTGAAGGGAATGTGTAGGAGGACACAGAAATTAGGAGACTCAGAGAACCGATGTTGAAAGGGCTGGGAATGCAGGTGCCCTGTGTTAGCAGGCTCTCACGTCCGGAGCAGTCCCAAGGTGGCACAGGAGTGAGCTGGCCATCACCAGAGGTGTTCAACTCAAGGGTGATAGCCTCTTGGCAAGCGCACAGCGAAGAGAGCTGAGTCTGCCGTGCCCTGTCAGGATGGGGCAGCGCCTAACCTGCCAGGTGTAGAGCAGATAGTTCTTCTTCTCTCCGATGAGGTAGGTGTAGAGCAGCAGATAGCAGTCACCCCCGTAGAAGTGGCCCAGCCACCTGGACTCCACAGGGACCAGCTCCAGGTCCTCGATGCGCCACACCTAGAGCCGGGAGCAGGTCAGTGTGAGGTCCAGGGTGGGGCCCAGCAGCCCCCCCAACTCCAACATGGGCATTCCGCCCTCACCCTACCTGCACATCCCCGCTGCCATCATCAACCATCCTGTGCTGGGCAGCCACCTGAGGCTGGACGTGCATGGACGCGGCATCAAACTTCACCTGTTCCACCTTGGCTGGAGTGGAGTGGAGAGGAACCACATAATGCAGCTGTCACCAGCCGAGGTCCCCCTGTCCTCGCAGCGCCCTAAGTGACAGCTCCAATGCTTAGCCCCATTTTGCCCATGATACCAAGGCAGAGATTCAGTAGCTTCCTGGAGATCAGAGCTGGAGAGACGCAGCTCTCTCTGCCAGGCTGGACTCATGCTGGAATGGTGCCCAGGAGAGCCGGAGGGCCATAAAGAGCCTTGTCCCGACCTCCTGCACGCGCAGACAGGCCTGGCCCCCAGCTCCATGAGAGCTAGCTGTGTGGTGACGGGCCTTTCACCCTCGGTGAGACCTGGTTGCTGATGGTTTCCAGGGAGGCCCAAGCCATTGCAAATGAAAAGCAGGTCATCTCAGCTCCGTTTTGTGACAACTCTTTTTTTTTTTCTTTTTTTCATTTTAAAAGGGCAGATTTAAGAAAACAATGTTAGCTTAGAGACAAGAATATCTGTCCTGGCAACGCTTGCATGTATCCATGCCCTGCCGTGGGGAGCCCAGAGCCATTACCAGGTGCAGGGGGTAGGAGGGTGGGGCGAATCAGGGTCTTACCCACGGAACCCACAGTGTGGGTTTTGCCCAGGCCTGACGTCCGGTTGGGCACTGTCCACTTCTGGAAGAGCTGCTGGAAGACGGCTGACTCGGCCCCGTCATTCTGCACCTCCACCTGGGTGCTGGGTGGGTACTGCTTCGCTTTGATAAAGTTCTAGGGAGAGGAGTGGGCGGCTGGGGTGCGTCTCTCCCAAGCCCAGAGCCAGCCAAAGCTGCCCTAACCCCGAGCAGACTCCACCACTAACCTCCCAAACCTGGACCTTCGCCAAGACCCAGGGCTGACCCCAAATCTGACCCTGCTTCAGCCCTGACCCTGAAGTTCGATCAGACCTCACAATTGAACCCCTAATTCTAACCCTGACCCCCAGCTTCCAACCTTGAATCAACCTCAGTCCAACCAGCACTGGCTTCTGTCAGTCAGTTAGGGTGACTGACCTAACAAACACCCCAGAGCACCCTAACTGTCAGTCAGTTAGCGTGACTGCCCTAACGAGCACCCCAGACTGCTCTGGCCTGGCCGTGCTGGCCCAGTCCCTGCTGTTAGGAAGGATGCCTCCATTTGCTCCTCTCTTCTCCCAAGCTAGTTCTCAAGTGCAGGATTGGGGAGCCCATATTCTGAGGAGGCTCCTGGTTGCTGGGTGACTGACTCCCTGGCAATCAGAGAACGCCCAAGATGACTAGATCACACCCACCCAGCCCTGCCACCCTGGGGTCTGGCCCTCCCACTCCAACCCTCCCTGGACCCCAGCCCCACCAATGCCTGGTTCATGGCTCCCTTCCTCTCCTCAGCATTGGCATTCTTTCCCTTCCACACGTAGATCTTCAGGCCACCCTGGTCCAGGATGTAACAGTCCTGAGGGACAGAGATGAAGACCGAGAGCAGGATGTGATGGCATTGACGGTGTTGGGCTGGGGGTGGGGGTGCAGGCACAGTCTCCTCCCCTCCACCCCAGCCCCCACTCCCCCTTCTCTGCCCATCCCCACCCCTCTACCCCCTCTCACCTCATGATTCAGCAGGTCTTGAGTGAGGGGCCTTGTGGCAACTTCTCTAATCACCAGCTTTCCCTCTGAGTCAGACACACTACAGGACAAAGGAACAGCATAGAGGGGGGCCCGGGCCTGCCCAGCCCCCCAGGCCCCAGCCCAGGAAGGCCCAACAGTGCACTCACTGGAACAGCTTGAGGCTGGCCTTGAGAGCCGGCTCCACCACCGTGTCCGGCACGGCGGCCTTCAGCTCTCTCCGCTGGCCTAGCACGTGGTTCATGATGGCCATCAGCTGAGGGCTGGCCTTCTCGTCCTCCCCTTCCACCACGCCCACGTAGGCCCGCCCGCCACGCTCCTGGTCCCGGATCTCCTTGGCCAGGTTCATGCCCTGCAGAGAAGCCACAGGTGACCCCTGGAGGCTAGTGGGGGGCAGCTTCACACCTCAAACCAGCCTTTTTAACCCCAGTGCCCCTCCTCTCTCATACCAGCCCCAGCTGGGCTCACCCAGCCCCAGTCTAGAGACGACTGAGCCCCAGCTGACGTCTCCAGCCCAACTTTCTGCTCATCTTTTTTTTTACCCAACCTCCAAGATAACCCCATTTTTAAGGTGTACAAAATGGAAGATACATTAAAAAACAAAACAAAACTGAAGTCTAGATTTGCTCCCCAAATCTGAACTTCCCAACCTTGCCCACCCCAGGAAATGGGGCTCCACCCACCCCCACCTGTCTCTCCCCTCTTCATCTCCCCCATCAACACACGTCCAGTGGATGCCTGTCCAGGGCCTGCCAGAGTCCCTTGGGAGCCTCCACCCCGATTGTCCTCCCAGTTCCTGAGAACAAACCCCACCCTCCTCCACAGACTTACAGACACATAACAGGCCCCCCTGAGAGCCACCCATCCTCCTCTCAGGCCCCTCAAAACTCCAGTCATGCTCAGGCTTTCTGGCCTCTGCAGGGGGCCTTGGGCTTTCCACATCCCACCTTCTCCTCAGCCTGGGCCTCCAGGACTGCCCTCCCCACCCCCACTTTCTCCCCTATTCATGTCCGTCTCCCCACCAGAAGGTCAGCTACAAGCTAGAGCCAGGGCAGGATCCTGCCCATTTCATTTGCCACGGGGCCCCGGGCATGGCCAGCATCTGCCATGCGCCCAGTCTCCAGATGAGCCACAGATACATGCACACACTCAAACCCCACCAAGCACCTCTCCCCGACATGGAATCTCGCTTCAACTCCAAACGCACCAGCCAGGCAGCCAGGGTTGACATCAGGGGAAGTGGGGCCAGCTGGAGTGGGCTGGAGGGTGGGAGATGGGGGTGGAGGGAGCAGGTTGGGGCAGGGAGGGACTTCAGGGGAGTTGGGAGAATGATGAGTTTACCCTGAGTCTCTCCATGCGGTTACTTTCATGCCCGTTCCACTGGATGATGAGCATCCCGAGGTCCAGGAGGAAAACATCCCCCCGGTTAAAACTCTTCCAGGACATCTCCACCTGCAGAGCGGTGTGTGTGTGTGGGCACACGCGTTACTCAGACCCCTCGTCAGCCACCCTCTCTTGCCCCCATCCCCTGCCCTCAGCCCTCCTCACTCCACCCAGGCCGGGAGGGGGACGCCAGGCCATGTGTCCCAGGCCCAGGTCAACGCCCACCTCTCCGGCTATCACATTCCTCTTGCCCTTGACGTGCAGCAGCCGCTGGATATCATAAGAGTTGGTCTCCACGTGCTTCATGCCGGAAGCCACACCCCCTTTCCGGATCCTGAGAAGAGGTGCCTTGAATGGCCACAGCGGTCTGGGAGGCGTGGTGACCCCCTGTCTTGCCTAGCTGCCTCTGGGGGGGGCAGGGGTGGAGGAGGGTGCAGGAGCAGGGCTAGGTGAGATGCGTGTGCGCCACGCTCAGCTTCACACAGCGCAGGCTGCATCAGTCTGCGCGCCCAGGCCGTGGTGGCTGCTAGGTGCCGGGCCGCAGGCCCCTCCCGCTAGTCCTCCGCTGCTGAGGGGCTGCTGAGGGGCCTGCAGGACGGCGCAGGACGGTGTGGCTCGGCGTGTGCCCGCCCGGATTCATGCATGCAGGCCCTAGCATCAGCGCCAGTTGGAGGTGGATCTTGGGGTGGGGACCAACGATTTCGGAGAGCCCAAGGAGGGGCCCTCACCCGGGCCTTGGAAGAAGAGACATCAGAGACCTGGCCCCTCTTTAAGTGTGCGGAGACGGGGAGCACGTCTTAGGGAGGGCTGGGGGTTGGCGCTAAGGGGGAGCCCCTGTCTCCCTGGCATCAGTAGGAACTTGGCTCCAGACTGTGCGTTTGATGGGGGAAGCCCAGAGGCCAGAACTTCAGACTTTTTAGGAACAACTGGAACTCTGGACTCTGAGTTTGAAGGCCTGCTTTCGAGAAAGAGGGGCCTGCTTGAGGAAGAGGGAGCCACTGGGCGGACGTGGGACTTGAAGCGCTGCCATGGAGGGCCTCTTCTAGCCATCTCTCTGGGACATGCAATTGGAGTTGACTTCGAAAAATGTGTGGTGCACAGAATCACACAAGTTCAGAATGCCCTCTGGGGGTTGGGGGATGGAAAGCTAGGATGACACAGTAGGAATGAGGGGGGCAGAGTGCAAAGTTGGAAATCACCAAAGCCCATTGTGGGGCCCCTTGCGGGGCTCCCCCAAGCCTCAGGTTCCTTTCCAGGCTCCGGGTGGGTCACCTCCCTCTGCCCGGCTCTGCTTGCTCCCCCCCCCCACCTGGCCCCACCCCCACCCCGCCTGCAGCGCCCTGCATACACAATGCCCTGCTTGAAGTAGCCTCGGAAGGCATCGCTCTCATTGCCCTGGACTTCACGGTGCTGGACTGCCCGGCCCTTCAGGAAGTCGTCCATCTGCGTGGTGTAAATGGCGGCCGCCCCTTGCTCGTCCTGGGACGAGGCCTGGCCGATCCAGAAGTGGATGTCATAGGACAGATTGCTGCCCGTCTTGTGGATCTAGGGAGAGAGCATGTCCAGTGTACTGGGGGCCCTGGACACCACCGCCCGCTGCCCGCCCCCTGCAGGCCAGCCCTGAGCTGCTCTCCCAGCCCCACCAGACTGCATAGGGCCAATGTCTTCCCCTGGGGCCTGGCTCACCTCCCCTTGGAAATAACTTGGTCGGACCAGGGAAGGTTCCCAAAGTGAGACCCACGGGCCATCAAGGGCCCATAATTAGATGGAGCACAAATAAATGGCTATTTGAATAATTACGTACATATTTTATGACTTGCTGTTGTGACATTGTGACACGGAACACTGCTTTTCATTTATGACACTGACGCAGAGTTCTATTTTTTAAGTAATGGTATTTCCGTTTTAAAAGTGAATCAGTATAAGGAAAAATACAAATGCACCAACACTGTGGGGGGTCTCTGGGGGCAGACACCCAGCACTATCAAGACTCCTGGGGTGGAAGAAGGGGCTCCCGGTGGGTGGCGCGAGTGAGGTCCCACCAGCTCAGAGATCCCCAGAACTGTAAATCCGCAGGCAGCAGCGGGGAGTTCGGCTCCCCAGGGAGAGGAGGGTCCCCCTGCAGGGCCATCACTAGGCCCAGGCACCTGGTGAGGGCCACTGTGGGGAGACCAGCATAGACTGGGCTTGCTGCGCCCTCAGCCCCTGCCCCGGCAGACCCGCACTCACGGCCAGGACGATGTAGCAGTCGCCATCAAAGAAGCTGCCGAAGGTGCTGGAGGGGACTGGCACCATCTGCATGGCCTAGGGAGAGAGGGGGCATGGTGGGGGCAGCCTCCCTCCCACGGGCCAGCCCGCCTGCAGGAAGCCAGGGAGGGAGAGGGAGGCAGAGGGGAGGGGAGAAAGGGCAAGGCGCAGGAGTGAAGAAAAGGGGTGGCCTGGCCTGCCGGAGGGAGAGACAGGGAGGGAGAGACAGGGAAGGGGAGGAGATGGAAGGAAGAGGAAGGTGGAAAGACAAGGAAGAAATGGCGGCAGAAAAAGGGATGAAGGAAGTGAGGAAACAAACAAGGAAAGCGTGGGGAGGAGAAGCCCAGGGGAGTGGCGCAGGAACAGGCTTCAGGTGGGATTGCAGGACTCGGAGGATTTCTAGGCCTCTTCCTTCCTCCCCACACCCCAGCCTACCCCTCAGCCCCTGCCCCCTGCACCCCGACCCATGCCCAGGCCTGCCCGCCTCCTCCCTACCCCTGCCCAGGCAGCCTCACCTCGATCCTCCATATCTGCAACCCTGGAGTGGTGGTGTTGAGGGAACTTTTGACTTGGGCATTCAGTTTGGTCATGGTGATGAGCTAGGGGAAAAGGGGTGTGGGAGCAAGAGACTGGGTGCTGCTCTCCAGCCCAGCCCTGGAGAGATCTCAACAATGCCGGGAGGCCAGGGAGTGGTGGGCCTCCCACCCTGGGCCCGGGTGGCTGTGGCCCTGCCTCCCGCCAGTCCACCCACGTCTGCTCTTGTCCCCGCCCTCTCATTCAAGCACCTACTCTGGTCCCTTAGCACCTTCTGAATAAAGCCCCACATCCTAGCCTGCCACTCAAGGCCCTTTTTGTCTAGCCCTGAAATCTTCTTTCTGAAAAAATTTTATTTAAGCTATGCTTGTCTAAAAATAGAAATGTACAAAGTTTAAAGTGAAAAAGGGAAGCAGAGAATAAATAAGAACTGAAAATATGTTCCCAAAAGGATTGAAAAAACAGGTGCTCAAACAAACATGAAACACATTCGCAATGTTCACAGTAGCCAAAATGTGGGAGCAACCCAAATGTCCATCAGATGACAAAGGGACCAACAAAAGGTAGCACATCCATGCAGTGGAATATTATTCGGTCATGAAAAATGAACTTCCAAAGCAAGCTCTAGGGAAAATGGAACTTGAATATATTATGTGGACTAAAGAAGTTAGACACAGAAGGCCACAAATTATATGATTCCATTTATATGAAATTACTAGGATAGGCTAATCCATAGAGAGAGCAAGTGGATTGCTTGTTGTTAGAGGTTGGGAGGAGGGAGAAGTGGGGAGTGACTGCTATTGTGTGAGGAATTTTCACTGGAGACTGTAAAAATTTCTAGAACTAGACAGTGGTGGTTGTTGGTATGTATGTGAGTGTACTTAATGCAACTGAATAGTATTCTTCCACATGGTTAAAATGGTCAATCATATATATTTTGCGTAATAAAGAGTCGCAAACAGCAATGTGCTAGTACTTCAAGCTACCCCCAAATTCTTCAATCACTATTCTGGTCCATGTCCACAAGCTACAGACCCCACAGAGTGGAAGTTATATTGGTTTGTTCAGTACTGAATCCACAGCATCTAATGCAGGGATAGGACTTTGCTGGTGGTTTTGTGAGTGGACAGGTAGGTGGGTGGAAGGATGGGTGGGTGGGTAGGGGGGTGG